CGAACAGTCAACAACTGTTGTGTGTTAGAGATACACAGACGCATGGGACTATAGTCAGACAGATGCCTGACAGCAGCTATGTGTCCCAGCGATACACAGTCACATGGGACTATAGTCAGACAGATGCCTGACAGCAGCTGTGTGTCCCAGCGATACACAGTCACACGGGACTATAGTCAGACAGATGCCTGACAGCAGCTGTGTGTCCCAGCGATACACAGTCACACGGGACTATAGTCAGACAGATGCCTGACAGCAGCTGTGTGTCCCAGCGATACACAGTCACACGGGACTATAGTCAGACAGATGCCTGACAACAGCTGTGTGTCCCAGCGATACACAGACGTGTGGGACTATAGTCAGACAGATGCCTCACAGCAGCTGTGTGTCCCAGCGATACACAGACGTGTGGGACTATAGTATATAGTATAATAAAGATTCAGATAATAAAACAAAACACACAAATTAATGTTTATGCAAAAATATTTCACTAAAAGCGACATGGTTTTTGAAAAAAAAGAAGAAGAAGAATATGATAAACTATGGCATCATGTTGCTTTCATCAGAGATCTGTCAACAGTAGGGCCATCAATAAGTTACTCAGATCTGTCAACAGTAGGGCCATCAATAAGTTACTCAGGTGTGTCAACAGTAGGGCCATCAATAAGTTACTCAGATCTGTCAACAGTAGGGTCATCAATAAGTTACTCAGGTGTGTCAACAGTTGGCCCATCAATAAGTTACTCAGATCTGTCAACAGTAGGGCCATCAATAAGTTACTCAGGTGTGTCAACAGTAGGGCCATCAATAAGTTACTCAGGTGTGTCAACAGTAGGGCCATCATAAGTTACTCAGGTGTGTCAACAGTAGGGCTATCAATAAGTTACTCAGATCTGTCAACAGTAGGGCCATCAATAAGTTACTCAGGTGTGTCAACAGTAGGGCGATCAATAAGTTACTCAGATCTGTCAACAGTAGGGCCATCAATAAGTTACTCAGATCTGTCAACAGTAGGGCCAACAATAAGTTACTCAGGTGTGTCAACAGTTGGCCCATCAATAAGTTACTCAGATCTGTCAACAGTAGGGCCATCAATAAGTTACTCAGGTGTGTCAACAGTAGGGCCATCATAAGTTACTCAGGTGTGTCAACAGTAGGGCCATCAATAAGTTACTCAGATCTGTCAACAGTAGGGCCATCAATAAGTTATTCAGGTGTGTCAACAGTAGGGCCATCAATAAGTTACTCAGATCTGTCAAAAGTAGGGCCATCAATAAGTTACTCAGGTGTGTCAACAGTAGGGCCATCAATAAGTTACTCAGGTGTGTCAACAGTAGGCCCATCAATAAGTTACTCAGATCTGCCAACAGTAGGGCCATCAATAATTTACTCAGATCTGTCAACAGTTGGGCCATCAATAAGTTACTCAGATCTGTCAACAGTTGGCCCATCAATAAGTTACTCAGATCTGTCAACAGTAGGGCCATCAATAAGTTACTCAGATCTGTCAACAGTAGGGCCATCAATAAGTTACTCAGATCTGTCAACAGTAGGGCCATCAATAAGTTACTCAGATCTGTCAACAGTGGGGCCATCAATAAGTTACTCAGATCTGTCAACAGTAGGGCCATCATAAGTTACTCAGGTGTGCCAACAGTAGGGCCATCAATAAGTTACTCAGGTGTATCAACAGTAGGGCCATCAATAAGTTACTCAGATCTGTCAACAGTAGGGCCATCAATAAGTTACTCAGATCTGTCAACAGTTGGGCCATCAATAAGTTACTCAGATCTGTCAACAGTTGGCCCATCAATAAGTTACTCAGATCTGTCAACAGTAGGGCCATCAATAAGTTACTCAGATCTGTCAACAGTAGGACCATCAATAAGTTACTCAGATCTGTCAACAGTAGGGCCATCAATAAGTTACTCAGATCTGTCAACAGTAGGGCCATCAATCAGTTACTCAGATCTGTCAACAGTTGGGCCATCAATAAGTTACTCAGGTGTGTCAACAGTAGGGCCATCAATAAGTTACTCAGATCTGTCAACAGTAGGGCCATCCATAAGTTACTCAGGTGTGAATAAATGAGTAACTGACAATATTATAGTCTTTGTTTACAGTAAACCTAATCATCTCACCTTGAGTGCTTTGTCACAATGTGTCATCAAATATGGATGTCACAGCACTCACGACATGCATATATGTCATCTGTCTCTCTGACAAGATGTTGAAGAGTAAGGATATTTCTAGTTCTAATAACCAGTTACTCTCGATGCCTCTGCTTTATCTTCTGTCATATGCCTTCTTGTCAAGGTCATACACTGGATAAATGATCCCATCAACAGTATCCACACACTGGATAAATGATCCCACCAACTGTATCCACACACTGGATAAATGATCCCATCAACTGTATCCACACACTGGATAAATGATCCCATCAACTGTATCCACACACTGGATAAATGATCCCATCAACTGTATCCACACACTGGATAAATGATCCCATCAACTGTATCCACACTGGATAAATGATCCCATCAACTGTAACCACACACAGGATAAATGATCCCATCAACTGTATCCACACACTGGATAAATGATCCCTTCAACTGTATCCACACACTGGATAAATGATCCCTTCAACTGTATCCACACACTGGATAAATGATCCCATCAACCGTAACCACACACTGGATAAATGATCCCTTCAACTGTATCCACACACTGGATAAATGATCCCATCAACTGTAACCACACACTGGATAAATGATCCCTTCAACTGTATCCACATATTGGATAAATGATCCCATCAACTGTATCCACACACAGTCTTAGTCTTCTTCTTCTTGTTCACCATCTGTAAACTCCAGCCGACAACGCATTACCTGAGTCTTATTGCATAGAATATGTGTGTGCAACAGCCGACAACGCATTACCTGAGTCTTATTGCATAGAATATGTGTGTGCAACAGCCATCTTACAGCCATCTCTGGGGTAAATGGAGGAACCTCGCTGTAGCTATAATTACGTGCGAACGGCGACACAGGCGGACAATTCTTATCAGCTGTCCATACTGGTGGCAGAGCACTTATGGTTTATTACCGTGTGCAATGACGCTGGTTCACATCTCCCGAATTTACTTTTTTACCTTTACAACTGCAGTGACTACCTCTTACTTCAGTCTTATGCTGGATGTCCTTACATGTGCTCAGCTTTGACCTACAATGATGTTGCCTCTCCATCTAAATGAAGCCTCATCCTCATCAATCTGCTTTATCAACTGGTGTTGACAATCAAAGCACTCAACGATCCCTGATCCCTTCCTTGGTATTTACCCATTCCTATACTACCATCTCTTCAAATCGGGTTTCAGATTCTTCAGCATCTTTCTCACCACCTCCATGTGACTTTCTCAAAAATTCCAACAATCCAGCAATAAATTCTAGTTTTTATCTTTTAACATTCCATAAACCCTGACACTGAGCAGTCCCTGACATTGTGCTGTCCCTGATATTGTGCTGCCCCTAACATTGAGCAGTCCCTGACATTGAGCAGTCCCTGACATTGAGCTGTCCCTAACATTGAGCTGTCCCTGACATTGAGCTGTCCCTGACACTGAGCTGTCCCTGACATTGAGCTGTCCCTGACATTGAGCTGTCCCTGACATTGAGCTGTCCCTTAACATTGAGCTGTCCCTGACATTGAGCTAGCTGTCCCTGACATTGAGCTAGCTGTCCCTAACATTGAGCTGTCCCTAACATTGAGCTGTCCCTTAACATTGAGCTGTCCCTGACACTGAGCTGTCCCTGACATTGAGCTGTCCCTGACATTGAGCTGTCCCTGACATTGAGCTGTCCCTGACATTGAGCTGTCCCTGACATTGAGCTGTCCCTGACACTGAGCTGTCACTTTCTGACCCCCTGCAGGCTAGGACATCATGAAAGGATATCATCATTACTCATTTTGACTTGTTTCATGAACATTCTTCTGTAAATCAACCAAAATTTGACCTCATGGCCACAATGGTTGTCTATGATTCTTATACAAAAACAAATTAACAATTCTCTCAACAAAAAGTGCCAGTTATTATATATATATCGTCCTGTTTTTGCTGCAAATATTTTCAGTAAGAGTTCAATATTGTAAACACTAATTTCCCAGCCAGTCTATCTTGAACAGTCACAATGTAGGTAGTTGTAGCAGGCCTGGTTATCTGTCAGCCTGTCTGTCCATCAGCCTGTCTGTCCGCCAGCCTGTGTCATCAGCCTGTCTATCCATCAGCCTGTGTCCGTCAGCCTGGCTGTCATACGTTTTGAGTCCTCAACAGTTTTTTTTTTCCACACTGACAGAGCCTAAAATGGTTACTAGATATTCTGGAGAAGTCTAGACAGTGATCCCACTATCCAGCGAAGGCATTTGATATAAAAATAAGTGGCATTCATGGCTTCCAATTCCCCATGGTTTTTACATTAGCTTTGGCTTCCATATTGACCCAATTTGAGGACGGCCTAAAATGGGTACTAGGAAATTAACTTGAAGTAAAGGCGGCAGAATGTTGATCACATGACCCACTAAGTTCCAACTGGACTAAAAATAAAAGGCTAGCACCATATAGCCAGTTATATTTCATGGTAGTTCAGGGGGCCTTCAGTACTTGTGTACCTGTGTGTGCAGCTGTGTGTGCATGTGTGTGTGTTTCTATGTATTTGTCTGTCTGTGTGTGTGTGTGTGTGCAATTCTATGTACTTGTGTATGTGTGCTTGTCTGTGCATGTGTGTGTGCTTCTAAGTGCTTGTGTGTGTGTGTGTGTTTGTGGGCGCACGGTTGGAGGGCGTGCTTGTCCTTGTATATAAACTTGTGCATGTACTTATGTGTGTACTTGTGTGTACTAGTAAATACTTGTACATCTGCATCTGTAATTGTGATGTGCTATAATTAGCCAGATTTTTTCATACATGCAAGGTTGTTTCAAATATTTACTTAGCACTGTGAGATCACATTTCTATCTTTGGAGGCTTTGGTCGGCAGCTTCTCTGGTGAACTATGAGTCGATCAGGCAAAAAGGTCCGACCACAGTTCTCACATGGGCAAAGGTTACTCTGTGCACTTTGCCATGCTGCCTCGTTTATAGCATCAACATCATATGCTCCACTCTTAGTGCCTGAAAGGATAGAACATTCACAATTTCAAACATCTGGCTCCACAAATAGCAAAGAAAACTGCCAGAAACTGCCAATTGATGCCCATGTAAGCAGTTGTCAAACTTGTAGCTCAATTCGGAAATGCACATTAAAATACACAAGGACAAAAAACAACAATTGTGGAAGACATGATTAACAACACACACAAATTTGAGATGAGTAATTTGTTTCTTTCTAATCATATCAAATAAAAACTGAATCAAAATGGGGAACGACTATCAGTGTGGTGTAATTTTCCATCTTTCCAGTGATAGAGAGGCATGGGTGTCAACTGTAAGTGTGACCACAACACAAGGGCTGGTACTGTAGAAACCGTAGCACAATATCTGGACTGTACTGTACGAATCATAGCACAATGTCTGCACTGTGCTGTACAGACCATAGCACAATGTCTGGACTGTATTGTACAACTCATAGCACAATGTCTGGATTGTATTGTACTGACCATAGCACAATGTCTGGGCTGTATTGTACAGACCATAGCACAATGTCTGGACTGTATTGTCCAAACCATAGCACAATGTCTGGGCTGTATTGTACAGATCATAGCACAATGTCTGGGCTGTATTGTACAGATCATAGCACAATGTCTGGGCTGTATTGTACAGATCATAGCACAATGTCTGGGCTGTATTGTACAGATCATAGCACAATGTCTGGGCTGTATTGTACAGATCATAGCACAATGTCTGGACTGTATTGTACAGATCATAGCACAATGTCTGGACTGTATTGTACAAACCATAGCACAATGTCTGGACTGTACTGTACAACAACCCATAGCACAATGTCTGGACTGTATTGTACAAACCATAGCACAATGTCTGGACTGTGTTGTACAGACCACAGCACAATGTCTGGACTGTATTGTACATACCGTAGCACAATGTCTGGACTGTATTGTACAAACCATAGCACAATGTCTGGACTGTACTGTACAACAACCCATAGCACAATGTCTGGGCTGTATTGTACATACCATAGCACAATGTCTGGACTGTATTGTACAAACCACAGCACAATGTCTGGACTGTGTTGTACAACAACCCATAGCACAATGTCTGGACTGTATTGTACAACAACCCATAGCACAATGTCTGGACTGTATTGTACAGACCACAGCACAATATCTGGACTGTATTGTACATACCATAGCACAAAGTCTGGGCTGTATTGTACAACCCATAGCACAATGTCTGGACTGTACTGTACAGACCATAGCACAATGTCTGGGCTGTACTGTACAGACCATAGCACAATGTCTGGACTGTACTGTACAGACCATAGCACAATGTCAGGGCTGTATTGTACAACCCATAGCACAATGTCTGGACTGTACTGTACACACCATAGCACAATGTCTGGGCTGTACTGTACAGACCATAGCACAATGTCTGGGTCGTATTGTGCAATTATTTGAAAGAAATGAAATCAAGCCAAGCAAAAGTTATTATTTGCAAATTCTGGGTATACAACTTAGTGATTTAAAAAAAAGTACATTAAATAAACAGACATCGGACAAAAAGACAGCAGATCACAAACATATGGAATGAAGCATTTTTGACAACACAAGAAGAGAAACAAAAAAAAAAACAGGCAATATTTAAAAGCTGGAAATGAGTTTTCCAGTATTCAATGATGACATGAAATAATGCACACATTCTGTTGTAGGTTGACAGACATGGAGTCGCACAACAGTCCATGGTAGTAGGTAAGACAACTGATGATGATGACAAATAGAAATGGAACTGAGGAGATGAACACAAAACATGTCTGTATGATTTGTCTAAATATTTATGTATAATTATCAGCGTAAATTTCCGGAATGATCAATGTAAACAGTTTTCTACAGTATGGACAACTGACGCATGCAAGGATTCCAGTGAAACTATTTCAAATACTGACAGTAACACTATAAAACATCTAAACAACACTGCCAAGCGACAGTAACACTACAAAACATCTAAACAACACTGCCAAGCGACAGTAACACTACAAAACATCTAAACAACACTGCCAAGCGACAGTAACACTACAAAACATCTAAACAACACTGCCAAGCGACAGTAACACTACAAAACATCTAAACAACACTGCCAAGCGACAGTAACACTACAAAACATCTAAACAATACTGCCAAGCGACAATAATGACCTTGACTTTCACAGGCTCTGACCCAGACTCAGCACCAGATCAAGACTAATATCAAAAGACATACCTCCGATAACCCTCATTTCTGGCTTTTTTGGCTCAGGGCGTCTCATACTTTTTGGTAGCTTATCATTTTCAATGTGCCATTTTATAATGCACTGAGGTTCATGAATGGAGATAGACTTGGATCCGAACTCTCTCCCACAGATGTAGCAGACGATAGTGGCAGGTTTTCTGATCACTGCTGGAGATTTAGTTGGGGCAGCCTGCAGACAAATATTGAACAGGTACAGCAGAGGTCAAAGTTAACATCAATCAAATTCTGGAGAGGAAGGTTATCACAGCTAGACTTCACAATGCACAGTAGGAGAGGAAGGTTATCACAGCTAGACTTTACAATGCACAGTAGGAGAGGAAGGTTATCACAGCTAGACTTTACAATGCACAGTAGGAGAGGAAGGTTATCACAGCTAGACTTTACAATGCACAGTCGGAGAGGAAGGTTATCACAGCTAGACTTTACAATGCACAGTAGGAGAGGAAGGTTATCACAGCTAGACTTCACAATGCACAGTAGGAGAGGAAGGTTATCACAGCTAGACTTTACAATTCACAGTAGGAGAGGAAGGTTATCACAGCTAGACTTTACAATGCACAGAGGAGAGGAAGGTTATCACAGCTAGACTTCACAATGCACAGTAGGAGAGGAAGGTTATCACAGCTAGACTTCACAATGCACAGTAGGAGAGGAAAGTTATCACAGCTAGACTTCACAATGCTCAGTAGGAGAGGAAGGTTATCACAGCTAGACTTCACAATGCACAGTAGGAGAGGAAGGTTATCACAGCTAGACTTTACAATGCACAGTAGGAGAGGAAGGTTATCACAGCTAGACTTCACAATGCACAGTAGGAGAGGAAGGTTATCACAGCTAGACTTTACAATGCACAGTAGGAGAGGAAGGTTATCACAGCTAGACTTTACAATGCTCAGTAGGAGAGGAAGGTTATCACAGCTAGACTTCACAATGCACAGTCGGAGAGGAAGGTTATCACAGCTAGACTTCACAATGCACAGTCGGAGAGGAAGGTTATCACAGCTAGACTTCACAATGCACAGTAGGAGAGGAAGGTTATCACAGCTAGACTTCACAATGCACAGTAGGAGAGGAAGGTTATCACAGCTAGACTTCACAATGCACAGTAGGAGAGGAAGGTTATCACAGCTAGACTTCACAATGCACAGTAGGAGAGGAAGGTTATCACAGCTAGACTTCACAATGCACAGTAGGAGAGGAAGGTTATCACAGCTAGACTTCACAATGCACAGTAGGAGAGGAAGGTTATCACAGCTAGACTTCACAATGCACAGTCGGAGAGGAAGGTTATCACAGCTAGACTTCACAATGCACAGTCGGAGAGGAAGGTTATCACAGCTAGACTTCACAATGCACAGTAGGAGAGGAAGGTTATCACAGCTAGACTTCACAATGCACAGTAGGAGAGGAAGGTTATCACAGCTAGACTTCACAATGCACAGTAGGAGAGGAAGGTTATCACAGCTAGACTTCACAATGCACAGTAGGAGAGGAAGGTTATCACAGCTAGACTTCACAATGCACAGTAGGAGAGGAAGGTTATCACAGCTAGACTTCACAATGCACAGTAGGAGAGGAAGGTTATCACAGCTAGACTTCACAATGCACAGTAGGAGAGGAAGGTTATCACAGCTAGACTTCACAATGCACAGTAGGAGAGGAAGGTTATCACAGCTAGACTTCACAATGCACAGTCGGAGAGGAAGGTTATCACAGCTAGACTTCACAATGCACAGTAGGAGAGGAAGGTTATCACAGCTAGACTTCACAATGCACAGTAGGAGAGGAAGGTTATCACAGCTAGACTTTACAATGCACAGAGGAGAGGAAGGTTATCACAGCTAGACTTTACAATGCACAGTAGGAGAGGAAAGTTATCACAGCTAGACTTTACAATGCACAGTAGGAGAGGAAGGTTATCACAGTTAGACTTTTCAATGCTCAGTAGGAGAGGAAGGTTATCACAGCTAGACTTTACAATGCACAGTAGGAGAGGAAGGTTATCACAGCTAGACTTTACAATGCACAGTAGGAGAGGAAGGTTATCACAGCTAGACTTTACAATGCACAGTAGGAGAGGAAGGTTATCACAGCTAGACCACAATGCACAGTAGGAGAGGAAGGTTATCACAGCTAGACTTTACAATGCTCAGTCGGAGAGGAAGGTTATCACAGCTAGACCACAATGCACAGCGTTGAGCATAGATTGAGTTGACAAACTACTGTAGACTCCAGGAACTATAACGTTTTTTTTTTACATTGATAACATGGACATAACAGCAGTGACCAGGACAGTGTCTTACTGTGCTTGTAGCTCCACCCCCTCCGCCACCTTTAGGCTTGCATGCTCTTTGGTGCACCACTAATCGGTCGGGTGCAAACTTCCGGGCACAGTTTGGACATGGGACCAACTGTGCTTGTGATGATTTCCATGCTGCTTCATTCATTTCTTCCCTGTCAAACCAAATACAGAAAAACTTTGTTTAACTGTCACTCATTTCTTTCCCTGTCAAACCAAATACAGAAAAACTTTGTTTAACTGTCACTCATTTCTTTCCCTGTCAAACCAAATACAGAAAAACTTTGTTTAACTGTCACTCATTTCTTTCCCTGTCAAACCAAATACAGAAAAACTTTGTTTAACTGTCACTCATTTCTTTCCCTGTCAAACCAAATACAGAAAAACTTTGTTTAACTGTCACTTGTTTAACCAGCAGTTTCTTTTATCCATCATCATCTAAAACATGTATGAGTATCACAAACAACCATATTAAAAATGTTCCCAGAATTAATTAAAAACCCAACTGTGTAAGCTGGAAGCAGAAACAATGTTATCAAAGTTCATCGACTGGTGTTAAATGCAGGAGGAGGCTAATGCAACACAGATCTAACTTCTGCACAAGATGCAGAGCATCGCCTTGCAGACAGCTCCAGCCTTAAAGACAGAAAAGGAGATACCAGTTTTTTTTTTTTAGCAGCCTTTTTATAGTATTACAATACATTTCTGTACATTACTACTCTTATATTCAAGTTTATATTAATGGTTTTGTAAAACTAAACGATCTAAACATAGCAATAGAATACAAAGGCATTAAACAGGCATCTGAGTTTAAATATCTGGGAACTACATTTACCGAAGATGGGAAAGTGGATAAATAAATTGACATTAAATGCAGTAAAGCAAACCAAGTATTGGGACAGCTAGCCCCCCTCTTACAGCATAAGACAATCCCAATCAGCACAAAGAGACATCTTATTCAAAGCATATTTATTCCAACTCTGTGCTACCAGTGCCAGACATGGTCACTCACAACAAACCATAAAAGAAAATTAGTAACCACGGAAATGAGGTGTCTGAGAAGGGCTGTGGGAGTGACCATAAGAGATAAGATCAGGAATGAGATCATAAGAGAACAAGTCGGCACAGAACCAATTCTGAATTACATACAAAGACAGCAAGTGAAATGGTTTGCCCACTTAGAGAGAATGCCTTGTGACACCATACCATACAAAGCATACATGGAAAGAGAAGAAGGACGTAGAGCACGGGGTAGACCAAGAACAAGATGGAAGGATAACATCAGAGAAACTCTACAACAGCACGATGTGCCTATGGTGGAGGCAGCCAGAAGAGCTAGAAACAGAACCTTATATCTCCCTCGACACCCACAGCGGTAAAAGAGGAAGTGAAGAAGAAGAAGAAGTAAAACTAAACACAATAGGTATGTATTATTAACTTTTAAAGGGTTTTATTTTCATTTCAGTCCCAATGCCGCAGTGAAATCATGTTAGTGTATATTGAGATTTATGGGTTATCCATCTACTGAGTTACCCATCTACTGGGCTACCCATCTACTGGGTTATCCATCTTTTGGGTTATCCATCTACTGGGTTATCCATCTATCTATCTATCTATCACATTTTACACTTCATTCATTTATTTCCTGCAAAATCCAAATGCTCACATTTTACACTTCATTTTTTTATTCTCTGTAAAACCAAATTTTACTCTTCATCATTTCTTGCCTGTAAAACCAAATACTCAAACTTTATACTTCATTCATGCCTTTGGTGTAAACCCAATCATTCAAATTTTACTCTTCCTTTATTCTTTCCCTGTAAAATGAAAAAAGCTCAAGATTTACCCTTTACTCATTTTTTTACAGTAGTTATTTTATGTTGATTTTGTGAGTGACAGGCCACCGACTGATACACAGAAAACATGCGATCGCAAAATTGAGAACCAGGAATTATTATTTAATTTACCTGGAAACTGGACCCTGAGGTTTACGTGGAATCGGCCGGCGTTGTTCTTTAGGCAACTGAGCATTTTGTACTTTCCACTTTTCTAAACACTGTGGCTCATGGATTGATATTGATTTGGATCCAAACTCCCGGCCACAGATATAGCAAACCACCGTACGAGCACGCTGGGGAGAAGCCTCTCGGATTTTAGTGCCCATAGCTGGTGCTGATCCCAAGTCAGTCTTTGAAGCCGCAGAACTGTTTGTAGTGGGTGCACTACCTGAAACAAGATGATCACAATATGGCTGATGATAGTTTATTCAAAAGGTCACATTCCAACTCTTTATGTAAACTAAGCATATGGCGGCTGGTCTGATATTTTCTTTTTATAATCCAATCAGCAGTTAGTGGACGATAGAGTCAACCGTACCTCCCAAAACATTTTCTGACATCCATCTTAGGCTTGGTGAGCCTGGAAGGGAAGTAAATCTGTTAAAAATCTGCCTCCATGGAAATTTTAAACAGCTTTACTGCCTGTCTAAACATCCATAGCAAAACAAAACTAATGAAATGTGTTCAGAGATAACCATGATGGGCAACTATTATTTCAGCCCAATAATGAGTTCATGAAAATCAGAACAAGTTAAACTCAAAAATATAAAGAAGAACCAAATAATTACTCACTGCAGTATAGACTGTTAAGACTGCACATGAGCTGCATCATAAATGTGGAACAATACTGCTCATTATCTACATGATGAATGTGGAACAATACTGCTCATTATCTACATGATGAATGTGGAACAATACTGCTCATTATCTACATGATGAATGCGGAACAATACTGCTCATTTTCTACATGATGAATGTGAAACAATACTGCTCATTTTATCTACATGATGAATGTGGAACAATACTGCTCATTTTATCAACATGATGAATGCGGAACAATACTGCTCATTTTATCAACATGATGAATGCGAAACAATACTGCTCATTATCTACATGATGAATGTGGAACAATACTGCTCATTATCTACATGTTGAATGTAGAACAATACTGCTCATTATCTACATGATGAATGTGGAACAATACTGCTCATTTTATCTACATGATGAATGAGGAACAATACTGCTCATTTTATCAACATGATGAATGCGAAACAATACTGCTCATTATCTACATGATGTGTGAATGCTCATTAAACAATACTGCTCATTATCTACATGATGAATGTGGAACAATACTGCTCATTATCTACATGATGAATGTGGAACACAAAGTTATCTACATGATAAATGAAATGCAGGTCATTAAATCAAATGGAACAAAACTGGATCTACATGAGAAGCACATACTGCTCATTACATGTATACATGATGAGAACAATATGAATGCAATCATTATCTAGCAATCATGATGAATGAATACTGCTCATTATCTACATGATGAATGTGGAACACATACTGCTCAATCAAGATGAATGTGGAACAATACTGCTCATTATCACATGATGAATGTGGAACAATAAGCCACATGTACATGATGAATGTGGAACAATACTGCTCATTATCTACATGATGAATGTGGAACAATCAAGAGAAGCACATTATCTACATAATGTGGACAATACTGCAATCACATGATGAAGTGGAACATACTGCTCATTATCTACAATCAAGAGAAGCAATACATGTAGCAATCATGAATGTGGAAGCTCATTATCTACATGATGAATGCAATCAACATGAGGAACCTGCACATTTAGCAATGAATGAGAAGCTCACATGTACATGATCAAGAGAAGCCACACTGTAGCAATCACATGAGAATGTGGAACAATATGCTAGCAATCATGAATGTGGAACCCACATGTAGCAATCAACAATACTGCTCACTACATGTAATGTGGAACAATACTGCTCAAGAGAAGCCACATGTAGCAATCATGAGAAGCTCATTATCTACAGATGTAGCAATCAAGAATGCGAACAATTCCACACATGTAGCAATCAAAGAGAAACCATGCAACAATGATCAAGAGAAGCCACATGTAGCAATCAAGAGATGCCACATGTAGCAATCAAGAGAACCCATATGTAGCAATCAAGAGAAGCCACATGTAGCAATCAAGAGAAGCCACATGTAACAATAAAGAGAAGCCACATGTAGCAATCAAGAGAAGCCACATGTAACAATCAAGAGAAGCCACATGTAGCAATCAAGAGAAGCCACATGTAGCAATCAAGAGGAACCCACATGTAGCAATCAAGAGAAGCCACATGTAGCAATCAAGAGAAGCCACATGTAGCAATCAAGAGAAGCCACATGTAGCAATCAAGTGGAACCCACATGTAGCAATCAAGTGGAACCCACATGTAGCAATCAAGTGGAACCCACATGTAGCAATCAAGTGGAACCCACATGTAGCAATCAAGTGGAACCCACATGTAGCAATCAAGTGGAACCCACATGTAGCAATCAAGTGGAACACACACGAAGCAATCAAGAGAAGCCACATGTAGCAATCAAGAGGAACCCACATGTAGCAATCAAGCAGGAACAGTTCAGGGCTCATCTTGCTGCTTGACTTGCTGATTCTGCCTTGCCTCTTGGGGTTTCTCTTTTGTTCACACAGCAGCTTGAGAAGTGATACACTGGCATTTGGATTCTGCATCATAACAACTGCATCATGGCTCACAGAGCTGTCATCACAAATTAATTTGGCATGAAACACAATATTTTATTGCTTCTGCACCTTTACCACTTCCTGCATGACCTATTACCTATTCCTACACTGAAGAAAGTCAGAAAGGTTATCAGTTCAAAGACACTAAAGAGATTCAATGCAAAATGAAAAAACTTGGGGCTTTTACAGACAGTTCCTGCAGGAGGTGCTTTTACCACTGGCAAGGATGCTGGCCTGATTGTAAACAAATTTGTAGCTCTCAATTTTGAAGGAGATCAAATCTACCAACTGTTAGGTCTATCAATGTACTCAGAATGATTTTGAAACATAATGATCAGCTCTCATTTTGTCTTTGACTGTTTGAATTTATACACTTTTGTTCCATCAACACTTCCAATATTAACCATACCAGGCAAATTAAAATAAACACTTACCTGAAGCACCACCTTTTGACTTGCAAGATCTAAGGTGGACGATCAACCTGTCAGGGTTGAAAGTTCGTGCACAGTTAGGACAAGGCACAAGATTTGCCTGTGAAGCTTCATTGCCTGCAGCGCATCCTTTCCACCACTTTCTATTAACCAAGCACACATGGATACCTGGTAACATGTTTGGAGAATGTGTTCATGGATACCTGGTAACATGTTTGGAGAATGTGTTCATGGATACCTGGTAAATGTTTTAGAGAATGTGTTCATGGATACCTGGTAACATGTTTGGAGAATGTGTTCATGGATACCTGTTTAGTTTAGAGAATGTGTTCATGGATACCTGGTAACATGTTTTGGAGAATGTGTTCATGGATACCTGGTAACATGTTTGGAGAATGTGTTCATGGATACCTGGTAACATGTTTGGAGAATGTGTTCATGGATACCTGGTAACATGTTTAGAGAATGTGTTCATGGATACCTGGTAACATGTTTGGAGAATGTGTTCATGGATACCTGGTAACATGTTTGGAGAATGTGTTCATGGATACCTGGAACATGTTTTCAATGTGTTCATGGATACCTGGTAACATGTTTAGGAGAATGTGTTTCATGGATACCTGGTAACATGTTTGGAGAATGTGTTCATGGATGTTACCTGGGTAACATGTTTAGGAGAATGTGTTCATGGATACCTGGTAACATGTTTGGAGAATGTGTTCATGGATACCTGGTAACATGTTTGGAGAATGTGTTCATGATACCTGGTAACATGTTTAGAGAATGTGTTCATGGATACCTGGTAACATGTTTGAGAATGTGTTCATGGATACCTGGTAACATGTTTGGAGAATGTGTTCATGGATACCTGGTAACATGTTTAGAGAATGTGTTCATGGATACCTGGTAACATGTTTGGAGAATGAGTTCATGGATACCTGGTAGAGAATGTGTTCATGGATACCTGGTAACATGTTTGAATGAGAGAACCTGGTAACATGTTCATGTTCATGGATACCTGGTAACATGTTTGGAGAATGTGTTCATGGATACCTGGTAACATGTTTGGAGAATGTGTTCATGGATACCTGGTAACATGTTTAGAGAATGTGTTCATGGATACCTGGTAACATGTTTGGAGAATGTGTTCATGGATACCTGGTAAGATGTTTCATGGAGAATGTGTTTCATGGATACCTGGTAACATGTTTGGAGTGTTCATGGAATGAGTTCATGGATACCTGGTAACATGTTTGGAGAATGTGTTCATGGATACCTGGTAACATGTTTGAGAATGAGAATGTGTTCATGGTAACATGTTTAGAGAATGAGTTCATGGATACCTGGTAACATGTTTGGAGAATGTGTTCATGGATACCTGGTAACATGTTTGGAGAATGAGTTCATGGATACCTGGTAACATGTTTGGAGAATGTGTTCATGGATACCTGGTAACATGTTTAGAGAATGAGTTCATGGATACCTGGTAACATGTTTAGAGAATGAGTCATGGATACCTGGTAACATGTTTAGAGAATGTTCATGGATACCTGTTTACATGTTTATGGAGACCATGGATACCTGGTAACATGTTTAGAGAATGTGTTCATGGATACCTGGTAACATGTTTGAGAGAATGAGTTCATGGATACCTGGTAACATGTTTAGAATGAGTTCAGATACCTGTAACATGTTCATGGATACCTGGTAACATGTTTGGAGAATGTGTTCATGGATACCTGGTAACATGTTTGGAGAATGTGTTCATGGATACCTGGTAACATGTTTAGAGAATGTGTTCATGGATACCTGGTAACATGTTTAGAGAATGTGTTCATGGATACCTGGTAACATGTTTAGAGAATGTTCATGTTCATGGATACATGGATACTGTAACATGTTTAGAGAATGAGTTCATGGATACCTGGTAACATGTTTGGAGAATGTGTTCATGGATACCTGGTAACATGTTTGGAGAATGAGTTCATGGATACCTGTTTAGAGAATAATGGATACAACATGTTTAGAGAATGTGTTCATGGATACCTGGTAACATGTTTGGAGAATGTGTTCATGGATACCTGGTAACATGTTTGGAGAATGAGTTCATGGATACCTGGTAACATGTTTAGAGAATGTGTTCATGGATACCTGGTAACATGTTTGGAGAATGTGTTCATGGATACCTGGTAACATGTTTAGAGAATGTGTTCATGGATACCTGGTAACATGTTTAGAGAATGTGTTCATGGATACCTGGTAACATGTTTAACATGAGAATGAGTTCATGGATACCTGGTAACATGTTTAGAGAATGTGTTCATGGATACCTGGTAACATGTTTAGAGAATGTGTTCATGGATACCTGGTAACATGTTTAGAGAATGTGTTCATGGATACCTGGTAACATGTTTAGAGAATGAATGATACCTGTTCAGAATGAGTTCATGGATACTGGTAACATGTTTAGAGAATGTGTTCATGGATACCTGGTAACATGTTTAGAGAATGTGTTCATGGATACCTGGTAACATGTTTAGAGAATGTGTTCATGGATACCTGGTAACATGTTTAGAGAATGTGTTCATGGATACCTGGTAACATGTTTAGAGAATGTGTTCATGGATACCTGTAACATGTTTAGAGAATGTGTTCATGGATACCTGGTAACATGTTTAGAGAATGTGTTCATGGATACCTGGCAACATGTTTAGAGAATGTTTAGAGTTCATGGATACCTGGTAACATGTTTAGAGAATGTGTTCATGGATACCTGGTAACATGTTTAGAGAATGTGTTCATGGATACCTGGTAACATGTTTAGAGAATGAGTTCATGGATATGGTAACATGTAACATGTTTCATGAGAATGTGTTCATGGATACCTGGATACCTGGTAACATGTTTAGAGAATGTGTTCATGGATACCTGGTAACATGTTTAGAGAATGTGTTCATGGATACCTGGTAACATGTTTAGAGAATGTGTTCATGGATACCTGGTAACATGTTTAGAGAATGTGTTCATGGATACCTGGTAACATGTTTAGAGAATGTGTTCATGGATACCTGGTAACATGTTTAGAGAATGTGTTCATGGATACATGGATACCTGTAACATGTTTAGAGAATGTGTTCATGGATACCTGGTAACATGTTTAGAGAATGTGTTCATGGATACCTGGTAACATGTTTAGAGAATGTGTTCATGGATACCTGGTAACATGTTTAGAGAATGTGTTCATGGATACCTGTAACATGTTTAGAGAATGTGTTCATGGATACCTGTAACATGTTTAGAGAATGTGTTCATGGATACCTGGATACCTGGTAACATGTTTAGAGAATGTGTTCATGGATACCTGGTAACATGTTTAGAGAATGTGTTCATGGATACCTGTAACATGTTTAGAGAATGTGTTCATGGATACCTGTAACATGTTTAGAGAATGTGTTCATGGATACCTGTAACATGTTTAGAGAATGTGTTCATGGATAGAATGAGTTCATGGATACCTGGTATGGTATGGATACCTGTAACATGTTAGAGAATGTTCATGGATACCTGGTAACATGTTTAGAGAATGTAAACATGTTTAGAGAATGTGTTCATGGATACCTGGTAACATGTTTAGAGAATGTGTTCATGGATACCTGTAACATGTTTAGAGAATGTGTTCATGGATACCTGGTAACATGTTTAGAGAATGTGTTCATGGATACCTGGTAACATGTTTAGAGAATGTGTTCATGGATACCTGGTAACATGTTTAGAGAATGTGTTCATGGATACCTGGTAACATGTTTAGAGAATGTGTTCATGGATACCTGTAACATGTTTAGAGAATGTGTTCATGGATACCTGTAACATGTTTAGAGAATGTGTTCATGGATACCTGGTAACATGTTTAGAGAATGAGTTCATGGATACCTGTAACATGTTTAGAGAATGTGTTCATGGATACCTGTAACATGTTTAGAGAATGTGTTCATGGATACCTGTAACATGTTTAGAGAATGTGTTCATGGATACCTGTAACATGGATACCATGGTAACATGTTTAGAGAATGTGTTCATGGATACCTGGTAACATGTTTAGAGAATGTGTGGATACACATGTGGAGAATGTGTTCATGGATACCTGTAACATGTTTAGAGAATGTGTTCATGGATACCTGGTAACATGTTTAGAGAATGTGTTCATGGATACCTGGTAACATGTTTAGAATGAGTTCATGGATGTAACATGTTTAGAGATGTGTTCATGATACCTGGTAACATGTTTAGAGAATGTGTTCATGGATACCTGGTAACATGTTTAGAGAATGTGTTCATGGATACCTGGTAACATGTTTAGAGAATGTGTTCATGGATACCTGTAAACATGTTTAGAGAATGTGTTTATGGATACCTGGTAACATGTTTAGAGAATGAGTTCATGGATACCTGGTAACATGTTTAGAGAATGTGTTTATGGATACCTGGTAACATGTTTAGAGAATGTGTTCATGGATATCTGTAACATGTTTGGAGAATGTGTTCATGGATACCTGGTAACATGTTTAGAGAATGTGTCATGGATACCTGGTAACATGTTTAGAGAATGTGTTCATGGATACCTGGTAACATGTTTGGAGAATGTGTTCATGTTACCTGGTATGTTTAGATACCTGGTAACATGTTTAGAGAATGTGTTCATGGATACCTGGTAACATGTTTAACATGAGAATGTGTTCATGGATACCTGGTAACATGTTTAGAGAATGTGTTCATGGATACCTGGTAACATGTTTAGAGAATGTGTTCATGGATACCTGGTAACATGTTTAGAGAATGTGTTCATGGATACCTGGTAACATGTTTAGAGAATGTGTTCATGGATACCTGGTAACAAGATGTGTTTGGAGAATGTGTTCATGGATACATGTAACATGTTTAGAGAATGTGTTCATGGATACCTGGTAACATGTTTAGAGAATGTGTTCATGGATACCTGGTAACATGTTTAGAGAATGTGTTCATGGATACCTGGTAACATGTTTAGAGAATGTGTTCATGGATACCTGGTAACATGTTTAGAGAATGTGTTCATGGATACCTGGTAACATGTTTAGAGAATGTGTTCATGGATACCTGTAACATGTTTAGAGAATGAGTTCATGGATATGTGTAACATGTTTAGAGAATGTGTTCATGGATACCTGGTAACATGTTTAGAGAATGTGTTCATGGATACCTGTAACATGTTTAGAGAATGTGTTCATGGATACCTGTAACATGTTTAGAGAATGTGTTCATGGATACCTGTAACATGAGAATGTGTTCATGGATACCTGTTTAGAGAATGTGTTCATGGATACCTGGTAACATGTTTAGAGAATGTGTTCATGGATACCTGTAACATGTTTAGAGAATGTGGATACCTGTAACATGTTTAGAGAATGTGTTCATGGATACCTGGTAACATGTTTAGAGAATGTGTTCATGGATACCTGGTAACATGTTTAGAGAATGTGGATCATGGATACCTGTAACATGTTTAGAGAATGTGTTCATGGATACCTGGTAACATGTTTAGAGAATGTGTTCATGGATACCTGTAACATGTTTAGAGAGAATGATGTTAACATGTTGAGATACCTGGTAACATGTTTAGAGAATGTGTTCATGGATACCTGTAACATGTTTAGAGAATGTGTTCATGGATACCTGTAACATGTTTAGAGAATGTGTTCATGGATACCTGGTAACATGTAGAATGTGTTCATGTTTGGTAACATGTTTAGAGAATGTGTTCATGGATACCTGGTAACATGTTTAGAGAATGTGTTCATGGATACCTGTAACATGTTTAGAGAATGTGTTCATGGATACCTGTAACATGTTTAGAGAATGGATACCTGGTACATGGATACCTGTAACATGTTTAGAGAATGTGTTCATGGATACCTGTTAAGAATGTTTAGAGATGTGTGTTCATGGATACCTGTAACATGTTTAGAGAATGTTTGGATACCTGGTACATGAGAGAGAATGTGTTCATGGATACCTGTAACACATGTTTCATGAATGAGTTCATGGATACCTGGTAATGTTTAGAGAATGTGTTCATGGATACCTGTAACATGTTTAGAGAATGTGTTCATGGATACATGTAACATGTTTAGAGAATGTGTTCATGGATACCTGGTAACATGTTTAGAGAATGTGTTCATGGATACCTGGTAACATGTTTAGAGAATGTGTTCATGAATACCTGTAACATGTTTAGAGACATACCTGTTAACATGTTTAGAGAATGTGTTCATGGATATCTGTAACATGTTTAGAGAATGAGTTCATGGATACCTGTAACATGTTTAGAGAATGTGTTCATGGATACCTGTAACATGTTTAGAGAATGTGTTCATGGATACCTGTAACATGTTTAGAGAATGAGTTCATGGATACCTGTAACATGTTTAGAGAATGTGTTCATGGATACCTGTAACATGTTTAGAGAATGTGTTCATGGATATCTGTAACATGTTTAGAGAATGAGTTCATGGATACCTGTAACATGTTTAGAGAATGAGTTCATGGATATGTGTAACATGTTTAGAGAATGAGTTCATGGATATGTGTAACATGTTTAGAGAATGTGTTCATGGATACCTGTAACATGTTTAGAGAATGTGTTCATGGATATCTGTAACATGTTTAGAGAATGAGTTCATGGATACCTGGTAACATGTTTGGAGAATGTGTTCATGGATACCTGGCAACATGTTTGGAGAATGAGTTCATGAATACCTGTAACATGTTTGGAGAATGTGTTCATGGATACCTGGTAACATGTTTAGAGAATGTGTTCATGGATACCTGGTAACATGTTTAGAGAATGAGTTCATGGATACCTGGTAACATGTTTAGAGAATGTGTTCATGGATACCTGGTAACATGTTTAGAGAATGTGTTTATGGATACCTGGTAACATGTTTAGAGAATGTGTTCATGGATACCTGGCAACATGTTTGGAGAATGTGTTCATGGATACCTGGTAACATGTTTAGAGAATGTGTTCATGGATACCTGGTAACATGTTTGGAGAATGTGTTCATGGATACCTGGTAACATGTTTAGAGAATGTGTTCATGGATACCTGGTAACATGTTTAGAGAATGTGTTCATGGATACCTGGTAACATGTTTAGAGAATGTGTTCATGGATACCTGGTAACATGTTTGGAGAATGTGTTCATGGATACCTGGTAACATGTTTAGAGAATGAGTTCATGGATACCTGGTAACATGTTTAGAGAATGAGTTCATGGATACCTGTAACATGTTTGGAGAATGTGTTCATGGATACCTGGTAACATGTTTAGAGAATGAGTTCATGGATACCTGGTAACATGTTTAGAGAATGTGTTCATGGATACCTGGTAACATGTTTGGAGAATGTGTTCATGGATACCTGGTAACATGTTTAGAGAATGAGTTCATGGATACCTGGTAACATGTTTAGAGAATGAGTTCATGGATACCTGTAACATGTTTAGAGAATGAGTTCATGGATACCTGGCAACATGTTTAGAGAATGTGTTCATGGATACCTGGCAACATGTTTGTAGAATGTGTTCAATATTTTAGAAATCAATAACAGACAAGGTCAAGGCAGTGGAAGAGCATATACTGTTGAACACACTAGATTCTTCACATATACTAGGTTACAGTTTTTAATACGATAAAGTGACCTGTTCCTATCTTTAGGTACATTCTTTTCTACCATCCTAATCTAAGATCATAATATGACTAAACCTAATAAAGTGAGGTGGCAAACTGGTTCATAACAAGCCACACTAAAATGACTTTCAAGTGACTGATTCATCAAAAAACTGTTCTTCTATTTCCCTCCCACTTGTACCTATCAAGGAAGATAAATGGTTATGCTTCTGGCTCTTCTGGCCACCTTCACCACAGACACATGATGATGTTGTAGAGCTTCACTGATATTGTCTTTCCATCTTGTTCTTGGTCTACCTTGTGCTCTATGTCCTTCTCCTCCTTTGGTGTATGCCCTCTTCCATGCTATCAGTGCCAGACATGGTCACTCCAACAAAACATAAAAGAAAATTAGTAACCATGGGAATGAGGTGTCTGAGAAAGACTGTACGAGTGACCAGAGAAGATAAAATTGGGAATAAGGTCATACGAGATAAAGTCGGCACAGAACCAATTCTAAATTACATAAAACGACAGCAAATCAAATGGTTGTGACACTTGGAAAGAATCAAGAATAAGATGGGAAACAACATCAAAGAAAACTCCTCAGCATCATGATGAAGCAGTCATGGTTGAAGCAGTCATGGTTGAAGCAGTCATGGTTGAAGCAGTGTCATGGATGAAGCAGTCATGGATGAAGCAGTCATGGATGAAGCAGTCATGGTTGAAGCAGTCATGGTTGAAGCAGTCATGGATGAAGCAGTCATGGTTGAAGCAGTCATGGTTGAAGCAGTCATGGTTGAAGCAGTCATGGTTGAAGCAGTCATGGATGAAGCAGTCATGGATGAAGCAGTCATGGATGAAGCAGTCATGGTTGAAGCAGTCATGGTTGAAGCAGTCATGGATGAAGCAGTCATGGTTGAAGCAGTCATGGTTGAAGCAGTCATGGATGAAGCAGTCATGGATGAAGCAGTCATGGATGAAGCAGTCATGGATGAAGCAGTCATGGATGAAGCAGTCATGGTTGAAGCAGTCATGGATGAAGCAGTCATGGATGAAGCAGTCATGGTTGAAGCAGTCATGGATGAAGCAGTCATGGATGAAGCAGTCATGGTTGAAGCAGTCATGGATGAAGCAGTCATGGTTGAAGCAGTCATGGTTGAAGCAGTCATGGTTGAAGCAGTCATGGATGAAGCAGTCATGGATGAAGCAGTCATGGTTGAAGCAGTCATGGATGAAGCAGTCATGGATGAAGCAGTCATGGATGAAGCAGTCATGGATGAAGCAGTCATGGTTGAAGCAGTCATGGATGAAGCAGTCATGGATGAAGCAGTCATGGATGAAGCAGTCATGGATGAAGCAGTCAGAAGAGCACACAAAAAGACCATATATCTTCCTCAACATCCGAAGCAGTAAAAGAGGACGTAAAGAAGAAGAAGAAGAAGAAGAGATTTAGTGTATCACACAGGTATATCATTTCACTGTAGCAGATGTATCTCTCAAGTCTACTCCACAGGTATATCATTTCACTGTAGCAGATTTGTCTCTCTCAAGTCTACTCCATAATTTCTCCAGACTTATTCCCAGTGGATGTGTGCTAGCTTTACTATCTGTCTGTATGTGTCTTACTGTCTGTCTGTCTGTCATAATGCTACTTTTTATTATTACTGGCTTCTACTGAATGACTTTTGCAGAACAACAATTATTTAAAACAAAAGTGAGAGGCACACACAGACAGACATTGATACATGAACAGCACAACACAGACAATGATACATAAACAGCACAGACAATGATACATGAACAGCACAGACAATACTCCACCTATCGAAGCAGTGGTAAACTGTCTCCCGCAGATGTAACAAAATACAAAGTTAGACCCAGGTGGACCTCGCTTTTGTTTAGGGGTTCCCTTTGGTGCTGAAGATGTGAAAGTCTTTTCTCGGTTCATTTCTATATTTGCTTCTTTTTTCTGGTTGTTGATCTGAAGCTGTCTTTTGTCTTGACTGTTATTTGAAAAGCCTGGCCGTGTTCTGCCCTTTGCACTGATTGGCCTACCGCTGTTATTTCCACTTTTCAGTCGATTGTTTGATGTACGCTGTATTTTGGAATTGACAGTTTTGGTTGACTGAATGGATTTTGTAGAAATGTCTACAGCTTCATCAAGTTTTAAAACAGTTGGAGAAGAAAGAGTTACTGTTGAAGGGCGTCTTATCTCATTACTGTTATTTATATTACTACTGTTCCTGTTCTTGCTACCAGGTTTAACAGAGTTGCCAGATTTACAGCTGCGTTGATGAACTATCAAACGATCAGGCTGAAATGTCCGGCCACAGTTACCACACTCTGCCAGGTTGGCCTGAGCTGCCTGCAAGGCCATTTCATTAAATCGAGCATGGTCAGACTTGCCTCCACCTCCTCCTATCGATGGTAAAATGTCAGGTTTGATGGGAGCAGGTCTACGTTGTCCACTTGGCAGCTTTTCATTTTCACTGTTCCACTTCTTCAAGCATTGAGGCTCATGGATGGTGATGGATCTGGAACCAAACTCTCTTCCACAGACATAGCATACAATCTGACCTTGTCGTGCCATAGGATCTGAAATGGACACAGATTGCTATTTCTATCAATGTCATTCAAATGTCCGGTATACATTGTTCACTGGGCAGACAGAATATTCAAATTACCTACCTGCTGCCCTTGTCAATTATGTATCTAATAAACAATGATTATCTAAATCAATGTGATGCTAGAGGTTGGTACAGACGGTCGTTCATAAGGTGGCATATATGGTGCTACAGGGGTGGTACAGAGGTTGGTACAGACGGTCGTTCATAGGGTGGCATATATGGTGCTACAGGGGTGGTACAGATGGTCGTTCATAAGGTGGCATATATGGTGCTACAGGGGTGGTACAGATGGTCGTTCAAAAGGTGGCATATATGGTGCTACAGAGGTGGTACAGACAGTCGTTCATAGGGTGGCATATATGGTGCTACAGAGGTGGTACAGACGGTCGTTCATAAGGTGGCATATATGGTGCTACAGAGGTGGTACAGAAGTGGTACAGACGGTCGTTCATAAGGTGGCATATATGGTGCTACAGGGGTGGTACAGATGGTCGTTCATAGGGTGGCATATATGGTGCTACAGAGGTGGTACAGATGGTCGTTCATAAGGTGGCATATATGGTGCTACAGGGGTGGTACAGATGGTCGTTCATAGGGTGGCATATATGGGGCTACAGAGGTGGTACAGATGGTCGTTCATAAGGTGGCATATATGGTGCTACAGGGGTGGTACAGACGGTCGTTCATAAGGTGGCATATATGGTGCTACAGAGGTGGTACAGAAGTGGTACAGACGGTCGTTCATAAGGTGGCATATATGGTGCTACAGGGGTGGTACAGATGGTCGTTCATAAGGTGGCATATATGGTGCTACAGAGGTGGTACAGATGGTCGTTCATAAGGTGGCATATATGGGGCTACAGAGGTGGTACAGATGGTCGTTCATAAGGTGGCATATATGGTGCTACAGGGGTGGTACAGATGGTCGTTTAAAAGGTGGCAGACAGGGGTGGTACGATGGTCGTTCATAAGGTGGCATATATGGTGCTACAGGGGTGGTACAGATGGTCGTTCATAGGGTGGCATATATGGGGCTACAGAGGTGGTACAGATGGTCGTTCATAAGGTGGCATATATGGTGCTACAGGGGTGGTACAGACGGTCGTTCATAAGGTGGCATATATGGTGCTACAGAGGTGGTACAGAAGTGGTACAGACGGTCGTTCATAAGGTGGCATATATGGTGCTACAGGGGTGGTACAGATGGTCGTTCATAGGGTGGCATATATGGGGCTACAGAGGTGGTGCAGATGGTCGTTCATAAGGTGGCATATATGGTGCTACAGAGGTGGTACAGATGGTCGTTCATAAGGTGGCATATATGGTGCTACAGAGGTGGTACAGATGTGGTACAGATGTGGTGCAGAGAGGTTTGGGGGTGGTTTAGAGGGGGCGGTACAGAGGTAGGTACAGGGGGCGGTACAGAGGTAGGTACAGGGGGTGGTACAGAGTATGAAGATTTAGTTCTAAATGATGTTTGATGTTGTCACATGATCAGTGTATGAAGATTTAGTTCTAAATGATGTTTGATGTTGTCACATGATCAGTGTATGAAGATTTAGTTCTAAATGATGTTTGATGTTGTCACATGATCAGTGTATGAAGATTTAGTTCTAAATGATGTTTGATGTTGTCACATAATCAGTGTATGAAGATTTAGTTCTAAATGATGTTTGATGTTTTCACATGATCAGCGCATGAAGATTTAGTTCTAAATGATGTTTGATGTTGTCACATGATCAGTGTATAAAGAATTAGTTCTAAATGATGTTTGATGTTGTCATGATCACTATATGAAGAATTAGTTTTAAATAACACAGTTGTATAAGTAAAGGCCCTATCAGGAGATATTTTCTCTTTGTTAGAAGCCTTCCTCTAGAACAAAAATGTTGAGTTCAGATATTTTCTCTTTGTTAGAAGCCTTCCTCTAGAACAAAAATGTTGAGTTCAGATATTTTCTCTTTCTTTTCTCATCTAGAACAAAAGTGTTGAGAGTAGATATTTTCTCTTTGTTAGAAGCCCTCATCTAGAACAAAACATTTGAGCTCAGATACTTTCTTTTTCAAAGCCGTAAGTCGAGAGAATAGTTTTGGGAATCACTTCTGTAAACACACAGTAGAGGATTAATGGAAATATCACAGTTGAATATTCAACAAAGAAACATGATTGCTCTGCAAAGTGGTGAAACAGAACCTTTTTTTTTTTTAAACAAGATGAACATGTTTCACACTAGAACTGAAACCCGACAGAATGATATCCAAATCATCCAACTAAAATTTGTTGAAAGCCACTTGTTATGCAGACCTGGGCTACTTTGGCTCTTGCTAAACTGTGTTTGAATAACTTCATACTGTTCTGCAATGATCTTATTTCTTCATCTAGCTGTGAGGCCCCATCCTGATCTCTTATCTGCTGCACTCATTATTATCTTGCTCTTCCTTTCTCCACACCCTCTTTTATCTTTCAGTGTCAAGTTAGCACCTGTGAATCCATTTCTCCAGCTTTGGTGATTTTTCAGCCTGTATCACTTGTTTGGCTGTTCCAACATCAAGTTCTGCATTAAACAATCTGCAAACATGATATAATTTGTAAAATAAACCCCCCCCCCCCCCCCCCCATGCCATAATAAAATAAACTGTTGATTTCATTACAATAAACAGCCTTGTGATATGTAGTCAACAATTGTAAACAGCCTTGTGATATGTAGTCAACAACTGTAAACAGCCTTGTGATATGTAGTCAACAACTGTAAACAGCCTTGTGATATGTAGTCAACAACTGTAAACAGCCTTGTGATATGTAGTCAACAATTGTAAACAGCCTTGTGATATGTAGTCAACAACTGTAAACAGCCTTGTGATATGTAGTCAACAATTGTAAACAGCCTTGTGATATGTAGTCAACAACTGTAAACAGCCTTGTGATATGTAGTCAACAACTGTAAACAGCCTTGTGATATGTAGTCAACAACTGTAAACAGCCTTGTGATATGTAGTCAAACTGTAAACAGCCTTGTGATTGTGTAAACAGCCTTGTGATATGTAGTCAACAACTGTAAACAGCCTTGTGATATGTAGTCAAATGTTGTGATCAGACATCTATATGTAGTCAACAATGTAAACCGTTTTGAAATGTTTCCAAAGTCCTGGTTTTCAAAACTATATAAACACAAGTGCTGTCATCAGTCATTTGTTTTACCACTTACTCTTCTCATCAAGAATCAAGTTACAACAACAATTTGTAAAACAGTCAGCCGTTCTGCTCCTCGTCACCTACCTTCCCCATGCTGCAGGTGGGCCATGAATGGGAGAAACATTAGAGCCCCGTGTGTTTTTGTAGGACTTACCTGTTTATTGCCGTTAAAACAGCCACGCCCGGCTGCCCCTTGTCGGTAAGCTGGATCACAACGATCACACTGAGAGAACTGGCCAGCCGTTCAACACTCGACAAATGAGAAGTTTACATTATCGATCTGTGCCTTTCACGCAGCCGACCTATGATAGAATAATCAATACTTGCAGGCTTTCTGTATTAATCCAGGAATATCTACATTAGATAATATAACCTTACGCATATGACGTCAACGATTCAAACCTGATTCTGCATGTGAAGTAAATTCACAGGTCAGGGTTTAGGCACTGATCGACACTCATAGAAGAAGAAGCATTGATGTACTTTTAAAATCCTTTTGTTGGCTGTTTTACATGTACAGAAATATAAATGTCCAAGGAATTCTTGAGAAGGAGTAGATCAATATTTATGATCTTGTGTTTTGGAAACGACAGTGACGCTTTCACTGTGGCCAATGTCACAGAGATGTGGTGTTTTGTAAATATTGTCCTTGGCAACGGTAAACAACTATCGCAGCCATTTTGTGGCGCCAAACAAAGATGTCTCGCCCACAACGAGAATGGCTTTCAGAAACTTTCTCCATCTGAGAGCAGAATATCTTTTGTTTTGTTTGTTGATGCTGTTAAAATAGAGATAATTGACACAAGTTACAGTGCCAGAAATAAACTCACAGTTAACGATTGGCATTTCTAGAACTAGTAGTAGTAGTACATTTTACTTCACCAGGACATCACACAAGCGATAAGCACCCGATGACACAAAGTGCCACCATGTGGATGAGGATCACCCGTGGAAGGATCCCGGAAACCGCGTTCAGCCATTAGGCCATATTTATGGCTGGGCTATATTGCGGTTCTTGGCAAAAGCCAGGGTGGGGCTTCAGATTAACGAAAAATCGCATCCTACAAGGGAATGACTAATGTAGATATAGAGTAGTATTTGTAGAAGTGACCAACTATAAACCTAAAATTATGTCAGTCACAGCAGCATTTCCTGACGTTTACATAACATTTGTACTGTAAACTTTAATAGTTTATCACAGCAGCATTTCCTGACGTTTATATGACATTTGTACTGTAAACTTTAATAGTTTATCACAGCAGCATTTCCTGACGTTTATATAACATTTGTACTGTAAACTTTAATAGTTTATCACAGCAGCATTTCCTGACGTTTACATAACATTTGTACTGCCTGCTCGACGTCCTGGGTCAAAATCGCTCTTACACCTGCTCATCCGAGAGGTGGATCATTATGATAGGGGCTCTGTCATTATCTGGGGAGGCTTCTACACAGACATCATAGAAACCCACCCTACATCATCCAAGGCAACTTGACCAGCCTTAGATACCAGAGCAAAATCTTAAGACCAACTGCTCAGTCTGCCCTGGAGGCCATAGGTGGCAATGCCATCCTGCAAGATGAGTACGCTGGACTCCATTGAGCTCTTGTCGGGAACTACTTTATTCAGCAGCAGGGGATCTTCAGACTGGCATGGCCAGCTCATTCACCAGACCATCCTCCCACTGAGCACCTCAGGGACGTCCTTGGTTGAGGATTAACCAATGACTCCCTGCCAATGGATGCTGCACAGGTGACAACATTTCTGCTC